AAAGAGAGTCTCTTAGTCACCTGAGAGAATAGTTGGTTTTTTTCAAAAAGTGTTGCATGTCTGGTAGTAAAACATTTTTGGGACTATATCTGGACAGGGAGCGAGGGTATTGGTGGTGGGGGGGATTGCGCTCTTAGTCCAGATGATGTTTCTTCACATTGTTAACCCAATCCAAACAGAGGCATTGTGGGAGAGATGCTGTGAGTCTATGATCTGTCACCAGCGTGTGGACTTCTGAATGACAGAGAGCAGTTGGTGGAGTGGAGCGGAGCGGAGTGGTCAGCGTGAAGAGAAACAGACTGTATGGAGGCAGGGTACCAAGAAATGAACCACGGCAGGAGAGAATAAGAGAGAGCAGTACGAAGAAAAAAAAAAAGAGGGAGAGACCGAGCCCACATGTGAAAGTCATTACTCAGAGTAAAGCTTTAACACAACATTTCTCCTAAAGTCAAGCCCTCCCCCCTCATTCTTCTTTCCTGGCCTGCTCCCGCTTTCTAACCTTTGAGAATAGGATTTCCAAATGGCTGGTTATGGGAACGGTCATAGAAAACAGTGAGGGAGAAGATGATGAAGAGTGCCGACCACTTCTTTGCATCTTTCCTCTCCACTGAAAAGTGTAGCTTAAATATCTTGGATGCATTTGGTGTCTGTGAAGGCATGGGTTTGTACCATGTTGGAACACATGCACACGTGTTGTATTCACGTACGGCCGGTTCATTTTCCTCTCTCTGTGCTCCCCTGAACCCTACGACTCTCTTCCTTCATCCCTTATTCCTTTTTTTCTGAAAGGGGCCCACTTCCTGTAAGAGAGGATAAAAAAATGACAGAATGCGATTGGCGCCCATAGAGCAACATCTGGGATCGCTTTAGACAGGAGGGGAGGAGACTGGAGCGAGTACATGGTGATCTGATGGGGTAGAAACACAAAGTTAAGATGAGGAAGAGAGGAAGAGGAGGGATAAAGGTGGAAAGAAGGACAGAGGGTGGTGATTTTGCTGGAGCAGATGAGGAAGGGTTGAGGAACATAAAGAGCGGGAGAGGGTTTGCAGGAGAAGCGCGGAGAAACTGCAGACCACTCCAAAGTTGATTCCCCATGGGTCCCATCAACCCATATATGGCTTCTAAGTTCCTCCCTAAATTTCTCTCCTTCTCTCACTCCCCTTATTTCCTTATGCCTTCCCCAAGTGAACAGGCAGATCCCTGGCTGAATGAGTGAATGTGCCACGTCAAGACTGGATACTATGCCGGGACACAGCCCTGTGGACAACAGACTCCAGATCCATGAACATCTCCAAATGAGGGACACCCAAAGGCCGGGATGTCAGATGTATCAAAGCCTGCAGAACAGCCTTGAGACGGAACCAAAGAGAAAGGAACGATTTTTACAGGCTCGCCTCCGCAACAGACAGACCTGCTAACAAGCAACCAGAAACTGAAGTGGCTAGCGCACTACGAAAGTGAGGGATAGTCCTGCTCCGTCATCCCAGTGTTCAGACTACCTGTTCAGGATCTTTCTGGTGTACAGTAGTCTGCACATTGGTTAGACAGTGCATGGAAGAGCCTCCCCGTGAAGACATGGGACCACATGAAAACCTGCATGCGTTCCGTGCTGAAGGAAACAGCGAGTTTGCTAGTCTGTCATGTTTTAGCTCGGAGATGTGCAAACGCACATTAATGTCGTTTCACCATTAACAGTGGCAGCATGTCATCCATACTGTAATGTACTGTGGTGGGCTTTAACTAACACTGTTAATGTGATACAGTCACACAGAAGCCTGACAAAGAGCATGCACATTGAATAATTCAAGGTTCTGCATGTGCACTTGTTCGTGGTATTTACATGTATTTATTTATTTGTCTCCATTTGCAAATATCAATGTGGTGTGTGTGTGTGAGAGAGAGAGAGAGAGACACACAGAGAGAGAGAGCGATATTCACACTGGTGTCAGGGCGGTCGTAAAGTTTCATACATCAGAGGTGCAGTGTCTGATGCTACGTCTCCTCTTCCCATTGACAAATGGATTTGAGATACGGAGCAGGCCTCTCTCTCTCTCTCTCACACACACACACACACACACCAATGTCAAAGGGCACACACACACACACACACACACAGACACAGAGGAGTGTGTAGATTAAGTGTATAGACATGCAACGTCTGTTTTTCTTCAGGATGCCTGTTGGAGTCCTGGCAGTAAAGGGATATAGGAATGCAGGTCTGTTCTGTGAGTCATGTGGACTTTAACTCTAACCTGAGGTCAGTCTCAGTCTGCAGATGTTGGGTCCTGCACAAGAAAAGGTCTTTTTGATGTGGAAACGTACAGAAGCAATCCAAACAAAGATGGAGATACGGCACTGCAGGAAAGTTAGTGGAGGAAAGATGATTTTTTTTGGGGGGGTGGCGACCCCCGCAGGAACTGAGAGTTAGGACAGGGAGTGAACGTGGGGGTGAAAGAGAAAGGAGGAGGGGGGTGAGGGGGTCTGCAGTGTAGCCATGTGGGATTTCTCTGGGCAGATCTTGGAAGCTGATGTTTGGACAAAGCTTCAGATTTTCCAGCCAGGAATGTGCAGTGTCCTAGGGAGACTGCCAACCACAGAAATGGGGTGTGAGGGGAGGGGGGCCGAGAGAGAGAGAGGGAGAGAGAGGGAGGGAGAGAAATAGAAACAGAGTTGAGGTAAAGAAAGAGATAATAAAGGGGAGGAGGGCGGCAGTCGAAGAAATATATGCGGAGGTAGTGTGGGTGGGGTGAGTTTAAGAGCGGGAACTGAAACCGTAGAAGAAGCAGAGGCGTAGCTTGTCCATGTGTGTGTCCGCAGACGGAGCTGCCTGTGAGAATGCAGTCCGTCTGATCTGCTGTGATAACACGGGTGATTGACAATGAACTCATGCTTTTCAAAACATCTGATGAATGCCTCAGGGTTGTGTGGATGTGTCTTAATGAGTCCACTGAGACGGAGTGATTATTACTTACACACACACACACACACACACACACACACAGGAGTACCCCATCCCTTAGGTTGGTCATCATTAACCAGAGGTGATTGCTCAACGGCCGCCAAGTTGTTAAGTGATTTAGTTCTTAGTCAGTGCATGACAACAAGGGGAAACCTACGACATGACTGTACACCCCGCAGGTCTGAGGCTGTGTGTGGGAACACAGTGTTCAAGCTGCAGTGTTTATTCTAAAAAGTCACTATGTGCCTGTAACAGTGTGTGTGTGTGTGTGTGTAAATTTCTCTCCAAAATTTGAATGCCACTGTGTTTACTTCAGGGTTTGCATGTATACTGTACGGTGTATATACAAGTCAGTCCACAGCATGAGAGTGTGTGTTGGTGCAGGCATGTTTGTGTCTTAGTTTGGCTTGGGTCAGCTCCAGCTGTGTCAGAGTGAGCCGCTCCAAATGCCTCAACTCCCAGAAGAGGAAGAAAAGGGGGAGTAAAGGGAAGAGCGAGCTTGAGTTTGAAATGAGAAATGGTGGGGCTCACTTACAGGTCCAGGTGGAGGGAAAGAATGGCTAATAACTGCAGGAATATTGGGAGTTATTATAATGATGATAAGAGCATCAGAATTCCCTTGGTGATACAATTTGTTGGTTAAGAAAAAAAAATCTACAGCCAAATCTTAACCTGACCAGGATTTCAACATCCATCCAACCATTATCTAGCACTTATTCCTTTGCAGGGTCACAGGGGTCACTGGAGCCAATCCCAGTTGACTACAGGCAAGAGCAGGCTGGGGGGTGGGAGGGGCACACCCTGGACAGTACAACAGTAACAATTTATTAGTAAACTATTTCTGCGCCCTCTATACTCCAACCACTTCATTACACCTATGAACTATCAAACAGTGTTGCCAACAGTGGTGGTGATTACAACATTTCACAGTTGCATGAACGTTTACAGGTGTCGGTTTGTATCTATGCTCATGCTCTGATCTCACTTCCCCGTCCGTGTCTCACCCTCTCAACGTGACCTCTGGGATCCGACTGTTGTGGTGTGTCTGCCTGTCTACACTTGCTGTGCAGACCTTCTGCTCCTGTACAGCAGGCACAGACAGGCAGACAGATGGCAGCCCCACTGACATCTGAACACAGCGCCTCCCTCACCTACACGTGTTTACCTGCACCTCTGCTGACACCATGAGAACATCATTCACAAAACTACAACAAAAAAATTATTCTTAAAGGGTCATCACGTTAGCATTTGTGACATCTAATGGTGAAAGTGCAGTTTACATTTGTAATAATTAAGGACAAATGACTGTCTTGGACTTTTGTAAATATCTGTGTCTATAGACTGATTTAAAAACACTGGCACTTGACATGATAACCGCTGTAGCATAATGTCCTTTTTCTTTTAGCCTGAAAGTATTTCTACTTTTTTTTTTAATTTCATAACACACAACATATGTACAGGTATTCAACGACTACATTTATATACTGTTAAACACTGTATCAATAAAAAAAATTAAAATCACAATTTTTTGTGTTAATAAAGTAATAGCAACTCAACAATGTGGAGTATTGTGACTTAATGATGCGACTCATGTGGAACGCTAACATCCACCAGCAGGTGAAGGTTTAGTAACACAGAAGGTGCAGAAGGTCATGGTTGTTTAACAGGTACATATATATTTCTCAGCAGTGACCTCAAAGAACTAACAACATTATATACTATAATACATGTAATGTGTTGATGACATTGATGGTTACCATCAGTCAGAGTAACTAAAGGGAACATCTTCAAGAAACTAGTCCAGTCCAGTCACCCTTGATGTAACTACTTTGGTTAAAGTTGAACTAAATCTTAACTAAAGTCATGATGATCATGAGTCACTACAACAGCTGTAGAACAACATGTCACATCTTTTAATCTTGTTTGTGTGACATACAGTGAAAGCAGGCAGAAACCAAACTGGGGAGAACAGTGATCAGGTGCAGAAAAGTTGATAAAACTAGTGCAACTTAAACAATCAGGTAATTCAGTCTTAACTCACAGACAGCAGGGTCAGGCAGGAACAGAGAAGTACTCAGAGAAGAACAGCGGCCATAATCACAGTGACCTGGAACAACAGGAACAAGGGCCGAGCCAAACACCCAAAGACTGAGTGAAGGAGAGAGGTCTCTGTACCCAGGCCACAGGTGAGACGAGTGAGACTGATGAACAGAGAAACACTGGTGAGTGTGATGACACTAATGATACCAGGAGAGACTGACTGACAGACAGACAGACAGACCTGACAGTTGGAAATGTGTTGTTAACATGGAATTCCTACAGAGAACCATTAGGCCTCACTACCTTAAAGATTATACTAATGGTACTGACTGCTGCGCCTCACCCTACAGCCAGCTCCTCCCTGTTAATAAACTTCATCTCCTACACCTGGCCAACCAGCAGCAGACTATCAGCCTTATTCATTTTACCCCCACCCAAAAAACCCTAAAATGAAAAAACTGTTTTCATATTTTCTCAATTGAGCTGATTTGGGCTCAGCATCATCTAAAATCATCATGGTTGCCAGCTAGCTGACCCTAAGCACAGATAAGCAGTGCTCACGAGTGCTCTGTGATGTCATTGAATGTGTCACAAACACATCAGAGTTTCCATTGGCCCAAAGTGAACACGGCTGGAATTCATGACAACGATGGGATTTTTTTCATTGGCACAAAGTGCATCATCTGCAGATATGAACTATTAAACATTATAGTATAGCTAAATATTTTTTCGAACCTGTAACTGTGACCTACGGATTTAAGCTGAGGAGCTCCTCTCATTTATTGATCTTCCCTAAATACATAAGACATTTTGGTGTTCATTACTTTGATCTCTTAGTACCAACTCAGCCTGTTGCAACCCATGTTTTCTACTGTTCTCCATATTCCTCAGTGTGTATACCTCAGGGTTTTAATTATGTTTTATATATAAATATTATTTGTATCTGCAAACTGCATATCAGGGGGTCAGCCCACCACTGACCAAATGTTTGAAGTGACTTAAAACAAGCCAAAGCATTTGGTTTGAATAAGCTTTGACTTCAATTGGGTGAGGTTTTCTGTAATAATCTTAAGACCCTTTTAGTGTCACATTGACTATGAACAGTCATAAAACAGTGATTTCTTTGATGGTGAGTGATAACAAAAGGTTATTTTTTATTTCTGTGTGTGTTTTACCATATGTTTCACTAAATTATTTTTTAGTAAGTTACGGTAGGCATCCTCCATTCATTTTTTTTCAGGTAACCCGTTGATCCCAAAGCTTTGAATTTAAAAGCCAATAACTTGTAGCATATAAGCAGGGAATGGGTGAGTTTGTATTATAGCAGAGCATGTGGCCAAGTAATCTAAATTCCTGCAAGGCAATGATTCAAATCCCTTACTTAGTATAGTACTGCATGTAATAACACCAGACTCCATATCTAATGTTTCAGTCCAGTTGTACACCAGGGCAGGACTCCCATGGCTAATGGATTAGCACTGAAGGGAAGCATGGAGAAGCTGGCACCTGGTGGTGGACTCTCTCTCTCTCTGTGTGTTAAGGCAAGCCTCGACCTTTGCTTACAACTACTACTCATTGACGTGATGAATTCAAATAAGCTTAGCACCATGACGAATGTCAAACCCACTTCTAACATTTGGAAAAAAACAGGTAACAACATCTGTATTTTTGCCCTCTCCCCTGACCTTGCCATTTTGCCAATTGCTAGATCTTCAGCTGGGAGATACCCTCCACTGAAATTTCACTCCTTTAATCCCAGGAAATCTCAGTGTGACTAAGCAAGCCAAACCGTCTCCCTACCGCCCCCTGCTGCTGGCCTCAGTCACTTCCCCCTCCATCTATGATTCCTGCGGAGGCAAATGTAAGAATTCCCCTTTTCTCCCCTGTCTTCCTTCTGTCTTTGAGGGCCTTCCTTTTACTCTGCATACCCTGATAAGACATTGGCAGTGCCCACTAGTGGAAGCCTGTATTAACTCTCTGCTCTGAATTGTATCCCAGTCATTAACCAGTTAATACAAAAATCAATTCCAATAAAGTTTGATATAATTGATATGATTGATTTGTTTGAGGCTGATTTTAATAATTTGCCCTCTTTTATTCTCACAAGGCGATTGGCATTTTGTAGGTCACACTGTGTGAAGGTTTAGAGTTATATCTGAGAGGAGAACTAAGATTCAAATTTCTCCATTCTGGAAGTTTCTTCATTCACTCTGACATCTCCGCTGACCAACCTTTTATGAAGAACATTTAAGTATTTGAGTTAGGTCAATTTTGTCAAAGAAACATGCTCTACATAACGACACTTTTTTTCATTACAATTTAAAAAAGATATTACACTTCTGTACAAGAGACTGCCAGTGTAGATGGTAATATTAGAAGGTTTAACGGATTAATACCAGTAATCTTACATTTTCTCAGTCACACAAACAATTACTCTACTTTCAGGTCTTTTAATAAATCCACAATGTCTATGTGTGGACTACGACTGGTCTTGGTACCGGTACTGGACAGTGTGCTCTGTAGATCTTTGGCTGATTGGTTCAGGGCCGGGAGGATGCGCGCTGCCTCCGATGGTTTCTTTTCCCCACAAGTGCAGAGCAGGACTTCGTTGACCTCTTCTTCGATTTTTCTAGAGAGGATGCTGGGGAACACAGCACGTAGACGATCCAGCACACTTTTCTTCAAGACCAAGTCACGACACACAAGATTCAGCATGAATATACCTGGTTCAGATAAAGAAAAAAATATTTAAAGAATTTAGAGAAGCATCTTTTTGGACTGACAGAAAAACATGTTATTGATTTTGGGCCCTTTACCCAGTCCTATGAGATGTAAACTGAACTCATTTAGGTAAAAGAGTGGTTAATTTTAAGTAGTTGCCACAGTTTTACTGAGCTATAAAAATACACCATTGTCAACTTTTTTTCTAAAAATGCAACAGATAAAGACAAATTCAGTCCAAAGTGAACACACTGTACCTCTTGGAGTTAATAGGTTGCGGACTTTCTGCAGGATTGATGCTTCCACAAAGACTGCAGGCGGACAGCTCATACCCACAGTGCTGTCTTTGTTGTCCGCATCAAATATTATAACATCAAATAAACAAGTGCCTGCCATGACAGAGAGACAAAATGACTGCTTGGTCATACAATAATTTAAATAATGTTAACAGAACATTGATAATCCCCACTCTTCTACTAACCTTTTTGCTCAAGGGCACAGATGCGTTCAAGGCCGTCCCCCAGAGTGACAGTCAGCTGATCATCAGGTCTAAATCCAAACCAATCTTTCGCTATTCCCAACACAACAGGATCCAACTCCACAACCTCAACAGAAATATTTGGGACAAAGTCTCGCAGAAATTGAGGCAAGCCTCCTCCACCAAGCCCCACCAGCAGCACCGACACTCGGTTATCTACAGAAAGAATAAAAGAAAAAGGGAAAAACACACATTAAGCTTAGAAATGTTTGATGTAAGACGTATGTACCTGTTCTATTGGATGTGTCCTGAAATTACCCTTGTTGTCTGGTCGGTTCAGCCCGAGAAGGGCAAGGCCTGCCACCATGACTTCATGATGAGAGCAGCAGAGGAAACCGCTGTCCACCGTCATAGAGGAGGTGGATGTTGAGGGAGGAGCTGCTGGCTTGGACCTTTTTTTGTTCTTTTTCTTTTGACTTCCAGCTGCAGGGATGTAAACATTTACAAAGAAATTGGTTTATATAGGCCAGTCTTTACAGGTAAATAATTGGTGAAACAGAAAATGTAGGCACAATAACTATGAGGAGACATGTAGTGAAGGAGGGATAAACAAAACTCAAAAAAAGACAAGAAAAAAGACTTACTGGCATTTGAGGACAGGAGACGGCTCTCTGACTGGACAAGTGAGGAATTCGACAGAAAAACAAGTCGACGATACAATTCTCCATCTTCTCCCTTGACGTTCTCGACACAGTACTCTCCACTCAGCTGGCTCACACCTCTGTTGATCTCCTCTCGCCAGCCCAGACCACCTCCAACTGAGAGAAATGGGACCTTAGTGGAAACAAAGACATTTGTTGTGGTAAAATATCTAGTATTATTGTACAACAAGCTCTGAGAGGAGAATACAGATGCTCTTTACCTGCTGGTTGTCTGGCATACCAGGAGGTGCCAGCTCCATCACCATTGGAGAGAGCTCTTCCTGCACAGCCTGCATGTCTGCGTACTCCTGATTTCTGTGCATTGCCACAATAACCAGTCGTCGAAAGTTAGCACTGGCTGCTAACTGCTTTTGTCCCTCGTTGGACCTGTAGAGCCAACTGGTCTCACTGCCTTGAGGTACTAAAGTATAAAGCAGTGGGAAAATCAGACAACTGATGTCAGATGACAAAAATAATCTCATGTAAAAAAATACCAGTTATTTAACCTGTACAAGAAAATACTGTATTTTAGAAAAGCTCACCAATAAATATGGCAAAATGGTTTGATCTCGGCACCTTGGCTTTAGGAGAACAGTCTTGTATTGTGAGCGTGTATCTAGGAAGGCCTGTTTTAGCATGACAAAGGGTTAGTGACAGGTTTGAGTTGGGATTTGACTCAGTGCGGAGCCTCTTTCTCAACACAGAGTACGCCTGCTGCTCCCTTACAGCTGACAACAACTCTGGAACCTGAGTGAGACGCGTTGGGGCGCCATCTTCTCCAAGACACATCTCCAGAATAGGTGTGGGCATTGGCTGACGGAATTTAGTGCAGACCAAAACAAAGACAGGCAGGGCAAAAGAATCTTTCTCCACTCCACTGTCTACCTCCTGCAGACAATGAAGCCTCACAGCCCATCCCAGCTGTACAAAGTGTTCCACTGCCAACCGAATCACACTCTCTTGTGCCAGGGTCACGCAGACATATCGACCCCCCACACGCAGGACACGGCCTACCTGCAGGAATAAATTTAAAAAATAAAGCTGTCATAAAGTATACTGTTAAAACATGTCAACAAATATCACAGCTAATTAGTTTATGACCTCTGTGAGCATTCTCTTAGCTAAATTCCCTTCCTCTTCAGATGCCATAGCATCTAACGTCCCTTTGTCCAGAGCAGCCTGGTATGAGGCGGCATCATATGGAGTTTGTGTAGCATCCACCTGCTGGAAGTTTAGATCTGGTCGGCGCTCAGCATTTCTTTGGATCATCTGGGTCACCACTGTTTCACTGATATCAATATTGGTCAGATGTTTGAAGCCAACATCATAGAGCTGTTCACTCAGTTCTGAGTTACCACAACCAACCACCAAAACCTGGAACACATAACACAACTAGGTCATCTGGGTTTTTACAGAAATGTGTTTAGTTATTTAATTTTGTATATTTTTACATGTTTTGTGCTGGTACTTGCTAAATTCACGCTTTAGAATTACACAGAATTTAAATACAGGTCAAACAAAATGGCAACAAAAGCAATGGAAATAAAAGACTGTTTTTATTTTAAATCAATGTTGAATCTTCAAAACTAGAACTAAAAACTGAATCTATGTCTTTACCTGATCTTGCATTTTAATATATTTGTGCAGGACGCCGCAGAGTTTGTTGTAGTCTCCATACCACTCAAAGGCCTTCTCTCCGCGCTTCTTAAAGAATTTCTCCCAATATTCTGCAGAGCTGAATTCCTCTGCAGTGCGAGGTAAAAGATTCATTTTGACCAGAAGCTTTGTCAGAATTCTCTCCGGCCTGTCGTTCTACGCTGTCATAACATAGTCACGGAAACTTCTCCACATGGTGGGCAGCTGTATGGTTTCACTCCGGACAACATTACTGAACACACCTAACGCTGATTGGTTAATATTTTAAGGCGGGACATTTTGCGTTTCTATGATTTGTTAAATTTCATTGAGTCTCGTTTAATTGGACGCTGGTTACCGGAAACGTTCGGTCCGTTCGGAAATGTGTCCGTGTTTCATTCATGTCTACTATGGCCGTCCCGGCTGGAAGGTCCGTGGTCTTCGTAACTGGAAATGCCAAGAAACTAGAGGAGGTAAGCCTAACATTTAAAAATGAAATTATTTTGACATTGTTTTTATGTTTGTGCAGAGTAATATAGGACATAATGTCAATTATCACTTTAGTCAATCAGCCCCACTTAACTCAAGCCCTTTACCTGTGTTGTTTTTATTTCCCTATGTTTATCAGGTCATTCAAATCCTGG